AATTGGAGAAAAGGAAGGGCTTCATGGTTAGCCAACATTTTGGCCCTAACCTTTCAAGGTCAGTGAAGACTCAGGACATAGGAGAACCTGTACTGTAACAACATGTAACTCAGTTGTGCTCCAAATTTTCTGATCAAGAAGATTATGGAGCCACAGAGAAATATGTTCAATGACCTAAAGTGAGCCTGGGGAGAGTCACATGGAGAGAAAAATCGTTTTCTCAAGCTTTCACAGAGACCAAATTGGTCAAGCAACGGCCGTGACTCATCCTCATGTCAGACACTGACAAATGGATGTACAAAAGGCGGTACAGGGCTACAGGATAAATCCTGAGAGTACTTGGCTGACCTTACCAGATACAAAAGTTACATTTCTGAATATATAGGTCTTGCTATATCTTGGTCTTAACCATCCAGCAGAAAAGTATAAAAATGAGGTATATAAAGTAAATCCATATTAATATGCTGAGCTGTAAAAGGCTCAAGTCAATAACTTCTGAGGATAACCCACTAATATTATAGACTGCTAGACAGTGTTAGATTGTTTAGTTGAATTCAAAAACCTATAGTATTTAGATGCCAATAGAATATTCACCTCTGACAGGACAAAAAGTAAATAAATAAAATAAAATAAAGGTTGAGAGTGTAGATCAGAATATTATTTAGCATGTGCAATACTTAGCACTGGAAAAAAGCAAGCAACCAAAATTAGGCTAAAGTTTAAGGTTCAAAGCTTAAATAATGAGATTGTACATGAATAAAATCAAATTTTGTGTTTCCTGATCAACTGTACTAGCCAGAATTAAGTGTTTTGGCTTTTCCAATTTCTATCTATGTCAGGAAAGAAAGTACCATGAGCCTGGGCTAAGAATTATTAACTCTACAGATCTGTACGCCAGACCCTGTACATAGGAATCTGTCACTTATGCTTCCTATAAGGAGAAGTTAAAAGCAATTTTTTATAAGTGTATTTGAATCAACTGTATCAGAAGCTCCAGTTGTGCTGGGATGGACATTTTAGCCCAGCATATCCACACAGAACGTTTTTTCTTTATTTTGTTATAATGTCCAACTTGTTCTGAGAAGATTTCCATCTAACACAGGTGTCAGATCAGATGACAAGGTAGTAGCTGACACTGATCTTCCCACATGCCACAAATTTATGAGCTTAACAACCACATTCACAGCTAAAGGATCTATTTGTGGGTATCTGTTATCTTTTTTTCTTCTTACAATCTCTCAAATTGCTCTGTCTTCATTTTTGTCTGAGATAGTGGAGGTGAGCAGAGTGATCTGCGACAGTGACTGTAGTTTGCTTTTCCTACATGGAGCAATTAAAGAATGGTGCCATGGAAGGTAACTCAGATGTGTGTTTGCAAAAGGCCAGTGTCCTCACTCATTTCTTTCTGGTGTTTCACAGAGCATAGAGTTTTTGGTGTATATTTGTCAAACTAAGCAAATGAGGTCTGAATAATTTTCTCAGTGAAGACATGGTACATGGACAAGAAAAGGTATCCTAACCAGCATCTAAGACTAAAGCTTTTCTAATCAGAAGTGAGGAAAGACAGAGACCCAGTGGCCAATAGTTAATTGAAGCCAGAGGAAGGAAGACCCAGTAGAAAAATATGGAGGCATCAAGAGATAGATCAGATAAAGAACCAGGAGACAGAGCAATGAAGAGTTCTCCAAAGACAGGAATTGAGCTGGGCCTTCAACTCAAGATGAGGAAGAGGCTTTCCTGGTAGAGGGAAAGTGGGGTGGACAGTTTGTCCATGTGGCTACCCAAATTATCAGAAATGAAGATAAAACTCCAGGTAAGACAAAAGATGTAACATAGAAACAGGACCAGGTAGGCAGTAACTGCTGGATAATATAAGCCTAGAAGGGGTATCATAAGAGAGCAGGAAAAATAGCACTAAAGAAGCCCTGAAAATCTAAATTCTGAGCCCTATCTTCCAAATCCATAGTCCCTCAGAAAGAAACATTGTGTACTCTAGAAAATATAGAGGAGCAGGATTCTCAGGGAAGAACCAAGAGGACAAAGAAGCATTCAGTGACTACATTAAGAAGGCTATGGCAACATGTATAGAACAAGGTTTGAGAATGTCCACAGAAAGGTCTTGAGTGGAATACCAGGGAGGTATGAATCAGTACACTGGTGGGCCTTGTGCGTTGTATGGTGACTTAGGACAACAAAGATGCAAGCCATGATGAGACCAATGGCCTTTATTCATCTCCAACAACTCTGCTTGCAAAATCAATGAAATGGGACCATATAAAATTACCAGTAGTTCTATAACTTTGACCTGCAGAAACAAAAATTACATATGGCTCAACCTAATATATCTAGCATAATAACCCATACTTCATCTTTACATTAGCAGCACATGGTTTATGAAACTGTAGAAGGTATAGACAGCAAAAATTAAACTTCCTAATCCCCAGTCCTCAGCCACCAAGCTAGAAGCTTCTGAGAAATCAACAAAGGGAAAAGATGCTCTCGTAATACCTCTTCTCTTAATATCCTACAGCAATATAAGTTGGCCCCTACATGATAGTACTGCTACCTTTGACTCACATGCCCCAATACAAAGATTTATAGGACTTTTGGTCAGTTTCAAGCTGTAAACCCCACATATAAAAAATAAATTTGTATTGCTTTTGTTAAGTCCCTCTTCTGCTCAAAACTCTACTCCTTATTGCCATCATCAAGGACAATCCCAAGCTCTTCAGTGCAATATGTAAGGCTCACCACAACACAGTGGCTACCATCTTCCACAACCCCACTCCACCTCACTCCCTCATGCTCCCAAGTCTCATCATCTTCTAAGGCCTGCAGTCCACATCTACCACCACACCTAACTTGATCTCACTAGTTTACACTGAAAGCT